TTGATTATTAAACACATCAACTTGCTATTTTTTATGTAAATTTTACTCTTTTATTAAATTCCAAATATTTAAAAGAAATTCTCCCCTCTCAAAAAATGTCAATGTGGCAATGCTATGCTTAATGTTTACTTCTGGAGAAATGTCAAAAATCGGCTTTATAATCAAAAAATAGTAGTAATGAAACTACCTTATTTTTTGTATCATGCCCAAAACTATCAAACGTTTCAGAAAACTTTTACTGGTTTTGCGTTCTCGTACCCAAAAAACTTGCAAAGTAGGGGAAGTTGAGAGAGCAAAATGTGATAGAGAGCTACAAATTTCTGCTTGACAAATTTTTACCAGCGAAAACTTGCAAGTAAGAAAATCAGCTGATCACAAAACCATGTTTGTAAATAAACAAAAGAAAATATGGCCTTTTTGAGTTATTTATTGCAAATTGTATTATTAATGCTTGTATACAACGAAAAAGTGAGTAAATTTATTAAACACAACGTCTGTTGAGTTTATTTTTCGTTAATTTACAATTAATCTCCAGTTTGTTTACTTTAGTGTGTGCTGACTATGGTTGCCGTATGACATTTTTCGTTTGTACCATAATTTTCCTTTAAATATACCAAAATAGATTAAAATGCAGCATGCTGAATTGTTTTCTTTGCCGAAGTTGTCGGTTTTGGTAGGTTGATTGTTGAAATGAAAATTTTATAATTTTCCCAGCACACACTGTCTCTTACGTTAGAGAAATTTGGATTTCTACATTAGATAACTAGGGTAATTCTCGAATCGTTCTCGAGTCGATGACGAAGTTAGAGAACTACATTACAATTCGATTCGAGAACCATTAGAGAAACAACGCAAATTCAAATAAATGTAAATAAGCAATATTCCAAATAAATGAATCAATAATTATTTTTAAGTTCAATTAATTCATTATTATTTTATTGCGAATAAATTTAATAAAAATTTTGCAAACAAAGCGTTTTATTTAATAAAGCAAAATTGCAGTTTGAAATTCACATTCGAATCCTATTAGAGATCAACAATAGAATTCGATTAGAGAATTAATATTTTCTCGAGTCGAGAACTATGTCCCATTTTTGTTGAGATCGCTATGATTCTCGATAGTTTTTCGAGTCGTTCTCTAACGTTTGAGATTGGAGAATGTGGCTAGTTCTCCAATCATTCTCTAATCGATAACTAACCTCAATGTTTGCTGGGTTAAAGCTACATTTGTAGCTATATCTATTAAATTTTTTTGGATCAATGATAGGTGTTTGGAGGAGATTCTCTTGTTTTTGAATGCGTCACCATGTGATATCACAAATAATTAAGAGAAAAATATCTTATTCATTCCGATATAATTAATTTGTATTTTAAAAAGGTTTTTCTTATCCAAAACTATTCAATTATATAAAATGCCAAATCAGGGGAAAATGTACCAAGCAGAAAATAAATTGCCAAATGAACCACCAGTGGCACCTGTGGAAGTCTAGTTCATTATATAATACTTTACACCATATAAATAAATCGGCATTTCAAACTTTGTACAGAAATTAAAGAAAAAAATTCACAACAAATTTGCATATCATTTTTAGAAAAATTTTAAGTATGCAGTTTGCTAGCTTATTAATAACAAGGTGCAAGGCCAAGAATCACGTTGATTTATGTTTTTTTTTTCTATTTTGCCGGCCGTGTTAATATGTATTTTTAACCGACTTCCAAAAAAGGAGGAGGTTATCAGTTCGTCGGAATATTTTTGTTTTATGTTACCGCATAACTTTGGACCACGTCAACCGATTTCGATAATTTTGCATCGGAAAGGTAGTGTCTCAGAGGTGGTCCCATACTAATCTGGTAAAGAGCCGATCAGTGGATCATGAGATATATATATATTTTTTTTTTATATGAGAGTTAAAGTCGGTTTTTTTTTGCTAAAAATAACTTGTCTTGCATACAAAACCATTTGTCGAAATTGTCGGAAGTGAATTGCAGAAACTGCCCGAGTAACTTTGTATGAAAGTAAATGTGAATGCAGTAATGTACAGTTTTTTGTCCGAAAAAAATATACGAGCATTACTTATACTCCATGTTATTTAGCTTGCCGCTCTTACGAAATTGCGAGTTATTTTAAAATCCAGGCAACTCTTTAAATTTTTTTTTTCATAAACGTTCTACTTTGATAAGTATTAATGCAAATGAAGTGTACAGAGATCGAAAAAAGGTTTCGAAAAATATTTATTGAGCGCAATTTTAAAAACAGATGTACATATGTATTTTTGAAAATACTACGGTGTATATCAATGTTAATATAGAGTTTCAATTAATTAAATTGTCATTTGTTTTAATATATACAATGCAGTTTTAAAATATGTTTCTAAAACTACGAACTACCTTCGTTACAAGTTCGTGCGATCGTAAACTGCAAAAATGTTAAAAATTGCAATTACCAATATATTTTTACACATTTGTGAAAGTTTTTTACATTTGATCAATAACAGCATTTTTACTATTAACTTATATTTGTTTACAAACGAACACACTCGTCAGCTTTTGGTTGATGAAGTTTTGAATGCCAAAAAAGGTCTACGCTATCCAAAGCCTTCTCAGGAGCTACTTCTCCGTCTCTCCTCATTTCTAACAATACTATCTAAAACATTTTCCAGGTTCTGTGTAGCCGCTGCCAGTTCAGTATTATCACTAAAGGAGTCCTCCACAATCTCTTTAACTTTATTTAATAGCACCTTGAAATTTATCATATCGGTGTCTCGTAAATCGACTATTTCCAAACCGCCCTCAATTTTTGGTAATGTCTCGAAGCCAATTGACATTTGGAGTGAAGCAGAGGCTCTTCGCTGATTAAACCATGAACTAAGGTCATTAACTGAAGCATCCGATTTGTTTGCATCCAAATAACTACGATTTAAATCTGCGCCATTTACTGAAAGAGCGCAGGTTAATTATTGTAATAAGAATAACGAGAAAATGTCGCATCCGCATCGGATTACTTACTCGAATGCGTTAAAGTACTGCCCTCCTCGCAAAAGTTGTCTGCTGCAATTGCGTTTCCTTGTGTTTGTGTTTTCTCAGAAATCGAGCGATTCGGCGTGCTTGATGTGGGATATGAACTTAAAGACTTTGATATTTGCTAAAAGAGAAAAAGTGAGCCCAAAGTAAATAACTAGAACACTATTTTCGCATACCGAAAATCTTCTCATTTCATTGATAATGCCAATTAAGAACTGCTGATGTGATTGTAGAAAATTAGCAATTTCTTGATTGCTGGCTACCTTTACGTATTTGATTTGTTTCTCAAGTTTCCTAAAATGACAAAAAAACAACCTATTACCGTACAATAAATAGCTATTTTAAAGAACTTGGCCCCAGAAATCGGACATAATTTGTATCTAGCATTTCGAACACGATACACGTCAATAGATGTAAGTAATTTACTTACAAATTCTGTTGTACTAGTCTGTCGATAATAGATTGTAAATGTTCAGACACATTTGAAGCAGTTGAGGCGCTAGTGGAGAGACCTGCAATGGAAGCTGAGAAAAAATAGTAAAATTAGTTGAAAATATAAAAAAGCATCACAAATTGAGTCTAGATTCCCCCATAGGGAATTATTCAACTCCACCTCACTACCAAATATGTAATATATTGTTTTTCGCTATTACTTTCAATTGTATCAGCTCTGGCATCAATATCCGTGGTTTTTGCTTCAGTGGCAAGTGTACTCTCAGTTGTTATCATTTCCACTTCCGTGTCGTCAACAATCGCAGATTCATTTGTATTGCAAAAGCCCCTCGTATCTTCTTGTGTTTGCTTTTCCATTTTAAAAATATTGCAAATTTTAGAAAAGAAATTTGATATTCGTTTTGCTGGTTCATCCTTAAAGAAAGAAAATATATAAGGGGCGTTCCATACCAAAACGGACGCTGTTCACACTTCATGTGTTTGATTTGTTTCAAATTTTTAGGGTTGATGCATGAACATAAATAATAAATAAATATGAAATTTGAGCTTGATTAATACATTTTTAAGAACTTTACAGCACAAAAACAAAGGCAAATCGATTTAATAGTTTTCCAAATATCTCGAGAACGGGGTGAGGAAAAAATTTGAAAAAAAAATCACACATACACACATCAAAATGCTATGAAAAAAAATATTTAAAAACTTTTTTTCTTAAAAAATTTTTCACATACAAATTTTTTGATAAAAGAAAAATAGTTCTTGAAAATATGCCATCTCAATAAAAATTTAAAAAAATTACAAGAGTAGCTCGGTGTAATGCGCAATATTTAAGTATAGTATTATTGGGTGCACTCTACAATAACTTGAGTCATGATTTTTTTACACCGAAGTTGACTAAAATTAATTTAAAAAACTTACAAATTTTTTAATTATTTTTTTTAGAATTTTTTTGAGTATGCAGTTTTGTAGCCCATTAAATTTTGCAAAACTGACGCTAATTTGGTTTGATAACGGTTTTGCGCATTTTCTTCCATAAGAAAAAAGTACAAAAAGCCGTCAGTATAAAAAAATATTAAAAATCAAGGCAATTTTGCATTAGCTTAAAACTTGAACTTTGTTATTCTAAAATTGAATGTGCTACAGGACTGCGTACTCGAAAAAGTTCTAAAAAAAATTTAAAAATTTGTAAATTTGTAATGTACTCATTTTACTCAACTTCGGTGTAAAAAAAATCATAACTCAAATTATTGTAGAGTGCACCCCATAATACTATACTTAAATATTGCGCAATACTCAGTGCTACCATTGTGATTTTTTCAATTTTTTTTGAGATGGCATATTTTTATAAAAAAATTTGTATGTGAAAAGATTTTCAAGAAAAAAAAAAATTTTTAATATTTTTTTTTTCATAGAGAATTTTGAATTTTTTGGCCCCGTTCTCGAGAACTATTAAAAGGATTTGTTTTGTTTTTGTGATGTAAAGTTTTTAAAAATGTATTAATCAAGCTCAAATTTCATATTTATTTATCATTTATGTTTACGCATCAACCCTAAAAATTTTAACAAATCAAACACATGAAGTGTGAACCCCATCCGTTTTGGTATGGAACGCCTCATAAACATCCAATAGTTAAAGGTTAACTCCTTCAATAAAATAAATATCAAGTATTACCTCTGTGAACACTTCGTACATTCGATGCCTGGCATCATGTTTGTTTACTACATATCCGGTAGCGAAACAGGAAAAACACAGCGACAAATTATGGCACGTCCTGCATTTAAAACGAATCCCAATGATCTGGGTACAGCAAGCTGCACAAATGTTGCTGTGTATTAATTTTTCGGTGTCTTGCATACGCTTGATTAACTTTATTAGATTGGTGTAAATACTGAAACGTGTATGCTTATCATTCCATAAGTTTTTGAATTGCGGCTCGGTTAAGCCGTATGAATTTGGATACTGAAAAATAAACTTTTTTATTAGTTTTACTTTTGTTTGTTCAATATTTAGTATAACTCGATGTTGTTGTTGTTGTAATAGCAAACAGATTCCCCAAAGAGTTTTTGGGGAGTGTTGCTGGAGTGACAGTCCTTGGCCAGATATAAATCTGGGTCGTTCCCGTTACGTAGACCCGACTGTCGCACAGTGGGCCGCCTCATACAAGTTAGCCGGAAAAAAATATTTTATTGCTTCAGATGCTTAGATTTGTTGTAAAAAGTCCCCATACAAAAATTTACCTTGATCAAGGATCGATTAGATGACACCAGAGGTCCTTTGATGAGGGTTTGTAGCAAAAACGGTATATTGAAGGTATCTATATATAAATACGCCACACTAAAATTTTAAACCCCCTTTTTTGAGGGCACCGTTTTCTTGAAAGGATATAACTTCCTCTAATCCAGAAATGTTAACCCCATTATACAGGGGGCGTGGCATCTGACGTACAGACTAAAATGTGAAAACTGATGTATCTCTAAAACCAATCACGCTGGGGAACTGAAACTTGGCACGGATGCATAAATTGTAAATACCCTACTTACAGCGAAAAATGATAGGTATTGGAAAAGGGGGCGTGGCACTTCCAATACAAACTGAAATTCTCATATCGCTTATCACTGGAACCGCTTATGCTAACATCCTGAATTTTGAAACAGCTACATATGGGTCTTTCCACGGAAATGTAAACAGAAAATGCAAGCAAATGAATTCAAACGGCTTTATAACTTTAAATTTCGTGTTAAGATGGCGGAAAAAGGTTTTGAAAACGCGAAACGGTGGAGAGAAGAACTGAAAAAAATAAATTTCAAATTTAATTTAGTATGTGTTACTAGTAAAAATATTGTATGGGGAAAAATCTGTCGCATACGTTGTTTTTTTTAATAAAAAATAACCACTCCCATGATTCGCAGACTTTCGCATATATGTATGTGAGCCTTAAAACCACTTCTTTTTTTTTGTCGCGTACGTTATCACCTAGTTTTGAACGGATATTTTCCACACCAAAGTTTCGAGCCTGCTTATATTTTTCTTCAACATAGTACCCTTGGGTTGCAACATAAATGTAATCTTGTTTTTCAGTAACTTCTATTTTTAAGAGATTTATGTTACTCCATAAGCGTACGAATATGTTAACAATACCGTACTTATGGCGAAAAATGGGAGGTTTTGGAAAAGGGAGCGTGGCATCTCCTATACAAACCGAATTTCAAATATCGCTTATCTATGGAACCGCTTTTGCTAACGTACTTATGGCGAAAAGTGGTTTGTATTGGAAATGGGGATGTGGCACCTCCCATACAAAATGCAATTTCCATATCGCTTATCACTACAACTACTTATGATAAGGTTATGGATACGCCTACATCTACAAATCAGAAAATGGCAATAATCATTCAATTGGGAAGAATTTTCTCCCAGATTTCAAAATCGCATTGAATGATTGGTATTTTGTGGAAAGGTTTATAGAAGGAAGGATAGGGGGCTCAGGGATTGAGAGCTATCCTAAAGAATCATATTTATGGTCACATTTGCTTCAACTTTTGAATACTTGGTACCCAAACGTGTGAGGCAAAGATATTGATTTTTGGCCCAGTTCTGACAAAACCCGTGTGAACACCTTCGAGGTACTTTCTTAACTTCTACCGATTTCTGATGAAGAGAGAGGAGTTTATGTAGAAGTTGGAAATATAGTTTTTAACCTTCCCAAATTAATTTTAAAGATTTACACTGTAAAGGACCCACTAATTCAAGTTTGAATTGTTTAATATATTCAATTATATTTTAATGAATATATAACTTATAACTACGTATTTGTTTTTTTTTATATATTTTTTTTTTTGAGTTATGTCTGCGAAATGTCACTGTCGGAGTGTGAACTTTCATCTGCTTCATCAGTCGCAACTATGACCATTTTTTCGTACAGACTCTGCTTGATATAATATGGAATTTGACATTGTTGCAAGGTCGTGCAAAGTCTGGCTTAAACAGTAACTAAAAGTAGGAATCATGGAGTCTCACAAAAAATTTCAAGAAAAGTACATGACAGTACAGTGTTTACGATTGTCCAAAAAAGTTTGACTTTGTTATTTTTTGACGAAAAACGCATAATTTTTACACATTACTCCAGCTACGTCCCTCCTCACATATTAATTGTTTTTATTTCATAAAAAAGAGCATCGTTTTCTATCCCAAATGCATTCTTTTCAGCGTTCTGGTACACCACTGTGATAAACAACACGCCACATTTTAAAAATGTTTATTTGATTTGCGTAATTTTTAGAAAACAAAGTTTCAAAACATCATATTTGACATACACATAAACTACTAAAATGGGCTTTAAAACGCCTAAGTATAATTCTTTTTATGTAATTGGACATTTCTTAACAAGTTGGAATTATCAAAACATCAAAATTCCACTTAGATTTTTTTCCGGCTAATGTCGTCATATGGCCCATTGCGTTTCGCGGGAACGAGTATAACTGGATCCTAGACTGTGGTATCGAATTAGGGCCAGGTTTCAGTGCCAGTTTAAACGTAGATCGCGTAAGCTGCGTTCATATTTAACAGGTGGCTGACAAATGTTTGGCTAATTTTAGTTTAAACCAGCTAAGCTAGGGCCTTCAAAGTAAGTTTAAGCCTGTCAGATATAACCATGCACTGAAAAACTGGTCCTTAGAGTATCAATGTCCTTAGTCTAATCCCCTCCAAAAGACAAACTTAAGATTTTCAGCAGCTCTGCTACCGGGTCATTGCAAGCTGCGGGCCCATATGAACAATCGAGTCCTATCGTTACTGTGACATGGCAGCAGAAACCCCATTGTATCTCCTTTTAGAGTGCAAGAAGACAAACATAGGGGAGGGTTGTGGAAGACTACGAGTCAGTTCGTAAATGCATTAATGCAAAAAAGGCCCTTTTATTTCTAAACTATAATTGAGTACACACGGTTAAATGATGAATTTGAACCAGGTTTCGATATTAAAAATTTCTACGAGCTATATTTTATTAGTAGAAGTGTTTAGTTAAAACTGTGGTTGCATTTACGAACTGAAAAGGCTTGGTTTCATTAGAGCACCAGGTCTGGACGAGGCTTTGTGATAAGCTCTGAGGGAATAATACCCCAAGGTCACACTGTACATCTTCTATCAAATTTATTTACCTTTCTACGCGTATATTATATCAAGTAGCTTTTATATAAAAATTACCTTGGCGAAACACTGATCCATTACCAGATTTTTATTTTGACCGCCATATGCATTTTCTTCCCCTATGTAACTGAAGGCTTTTATTAAGATATCTAACAAATATTCAAAGTTCTTCTTCGATATGCATCTAGTTTTTTTATCATGCAACAAGTTATAAAATTCAACACTCCATTCCAAAGTAATATAATGTTTGCAAAGCAACAGGAACATAACCTTGATTTCCAACGCCGAAATAGAGTGACGACGATTTCTGAAACAGTAGTTAGGATTTATAGGTAACTACCGTATCATGATATAAACTATTGTAAATCTTACGGGTCGAATATATTCCAAAAGAAAGTTGCTAAAACACTTGTAGCAGTTTCAATACGATATGTTGCTGATTTACTAAAATGTCCCAGAGTCTCGCAAGCATAGTAAAGATCATGAATAAATGTTGTCAATTGAAACGGTGGTACCATGAAATTGGCATCTACGTCAAGTATTTTGTATCGATCCATTAAAGCTTGTACAAGCTTATATGGTATGTCGGCAGCTAAGGTATAAAATATTAGTTAACTTAACTGCCGTTTTTTTTATGACCCACTTACTAAACAGTAGTTTTTGTATGCTCAGCACCTTAGAAGCGCAACGATAAACGGTGAATTTGTACGCAGCATGCTCATCCTGCACAAAGGATATAATACTTGATATTTTCGTGTAATCGCAAGTCCGAATTTGTTTTGGGTCTCTATAACAGCTGTCTGGCAATTCGTTTGTGGATTGCGGTTGCACAAATAATGCTACTGCATTCATTCTCAAAAATGTTTTTTTGACAAAAAAATAATTTTTTTCTTGTATTCTGGATTCGTGGCTGTATCCTAGGAATTAGGGCCGCATATGCCAGGTTGTAATTCTAAGATGGTTTGTTCGGTGTAGGTTGCAAGCTGAAATCCATAAATTATTAAATTTTTACACACTCTTCGCTATAAATAAAACAAAGCTCTTCGCGGCTCCCGGTCGGTTTCAAACAAAATTGTAATTTTTAAAACGTTGTCGCGTTTGGTTGGCAGTATTGTAAAAGGTTTGCGACTTGGGTTTTGAAATTACCTTGCCAACCCCATTTTTGCACAGCATGTTCTTAAATCCACGTCTCCACCTTCTACTAATGCAGCGTTTTTGCTGCATATAAAATGCAGCATATGTTTTCGAAGAGCGTTCATGTTATAGGCTGTATTTGCTTACGCGTTAAAGCACATTTAGCTCTAAATGCTACTCTAAATGTACATTTATCCATACTAAATTCGTCACCTAAATGCAACTCCATTTTTGCATTAAGAATCTAAATGCTAAAAGCAACCCTGTGATCTTCCAAAATTTCCACGATTCGAACATGGTTTAATGAGAAAAAGTGGCAACATTGCATTTTTGAGTATACAGTGGCTAACTGCGTTTCAGTGATCGCCGATCGAGATTTCATTTATTATTTTACATTATTTGGATAAAGAAAAGTTAAGAAAATTCAATATCGATGTGATGCTGATAGAAATCTGGATCAATTTGTGATCAATTCTGTTTGTTTT